AGATTTATTCCAAAATTCTTTGACTAACTCAGGATAAGTTGGTCCTCTGAGAAGATCAAAATAGGTTTCCCAGCCTTGGCTCTTAACATCATTGGATAGATCAAATCCATTATCTGCTAGGTTTTCAAATTCCATTATTAGTTCAGTAAGAACAATCATCTGTTTTGTTGGCACAACAAAGGAAGTTCATGGGTCATCAAAAATGGAAAGAGGTCAAGAGTGAAGTGGGAGATTTAGGTTTTCCCCAACGAGAATTAATGTTTGGTGATTGGGAGTTGATTAGTGAGTGGCCATTGATGATTATGGATGAATTTGGAACATAAATGGAGAGGTTTTAGGGTTTTTGAGGATTTGGGGCTAATCACTAGCGAGAGATTTAGGAGGTGGAGTGCAACTAGAGTGAGAGGAGAGAGAGAGAGAGAGAGAGAAAGAGAGATAGATAGATAGAGAGAGAGAGAGAGAGAGAGAGAGAGAGAGAGAGAGAGAGAGAGAGAGAGAGTTTTTGAATTGAAAAGATTATTAGTCTTTTGAGAAGAGTGAAAAACTGACAAGGGGTAAGGCGAAGGGATTTTTTACCTACTCTTGGGACTATTCTAATTTTCCAACAAATCACATCAATCATCAGGCGAGATTTAAAAGACATCCCATTTAATGTATTTACCTTTTCAATTTTTAAGGGATGAACTAGATCTTAAAGCTAATATAGTTTCTCCTTAGATCACTTCTAATTGTTTGAGAATATCAACAGTTATTATATATGGCATAACGAGATATCTTATCCATTTATTACTAATATCTGAAAGAAGAACAGTCAATAAAAAGAAAATATACTTCATTAGAAAACATGTAAATTTTGACCTGGTATATTTTCTTGTGACAAGTTTACCTTCATTGTTGAGCTTGTTTCTGATTCACCAGTCTTTTGAATACTTCTTTAGTTTCATCCCTTGTCCTGAGACACTCTTTCCGATCTCCTTGCTTCTTGAGATTTTAGAAGCAACTTCAATATAATCAGATGGTTCCCTACAACTGTAGTCTTCTTGTTTGGCTTTGATCTTCCTATGAGTTGATATCTTTTACGTTATTATGCCTTTTTCAGAACTTGAAAAGAAGAATCTTGTGGATGATATTCTTCTCATTTATTTACTTCTTGTTTTTCAATAGTTTCTTTACGTGCTTCATATTCTAAAAATAGTATCCACATATTCCCAAGTTGTTCTGACTTGTTCTGCTCTCTGGTAGATGGCATTATCTCCTCTTGACTCCCAATTCTTCTGTGTAACTCTTTTTTGAAGCTTTCAAACGACTCCTCCTTCTGACTTCTGGAGTGCATATTTGAGAATATTTGATCTACTTAGAGCTCTTGATGGATCTTCTTGAAATGGCATTGAATTGATCCATAGCAGCTTGCAGCGGTTGTTTTTGAATGAAAAATTTAGTTGAGTTGAAGTGGTGATTGTTGAACTTTGCTTCTGATGGAGAGCTTCTATTGAATGAGAAGATGAATTCCATTTCCATTAGGTACTTGAGCCTTCAGAATCCTGAGAACTTGTTTCAGGGATTTTGTCTTCATATTTTTTATTCTTGCTCAGATTTTTGAATCCTCTACAGACTAGATTTTGAATCAGAAAATCTTTCTATTATTTGAGTAGCAAGAGCTATAGAGTTTTCTCTTTACTGGATCTTGCTACACGGTTAAGTTTTTTATTCTTAAATCAATAACAGAGCCAAGCTCTGATACCAATTGAAGGTAGAGAAAACACAAGAAAGGGGGGTTTGAATTATGTTCATAGAAAACATTCCCCTTTAAGAAAATCTAAGCACTCAAAGGATAATAGATATAAAGACAATGAAGAGTAAAGGACACAAGTATTTTATCCAGGTTCGCTGTTAACTAGGCTACTCCTGTCCACCCCCACAAGGATGATTTCTCCTTATCTCATGACTTAATCCACTATAACAAAACTGATTACAAATGCACAGGCAACGGTCGGTGACTAACACACAATGGAACATTCAGTGATCCAATCGGATATAACATTCATTGACCCAATAGAATCATATCCTTCAAGATCATTTACCAGGATTTCCCCCAATGATATCCATTAGTGATATCACAAGAGTCTGACCTTCACTCGGTCCCCTTTGAGATATGACTACCATTAACCCAACAGAATCCGATCCCGCAGGATCTCCTATCAAGATTTCCTATAATGACCGCAACCATTATCTTCTTGAGATAAGACCTTCACTAAGTCTCTCAAGGAACCAATCGATAATAGTTGGGTGGGGTTCTTGTGTTTACATGAATGTTTCTTCTAAGCAGATTACACAAGTGTTTTAAGCACATATTGTTTAACACTTTTCCGAGCAACAACTCAAGTGTTAAAATTTTTTACATGAAAAGATTCAAACAGAAGCACAATACGAGAAAAAATTCTCGTGTTCATTACGATGTTCTACGAATATGTATATGATCAAAAGTTGATTAGAATCTTGTAGTGTTCTTCTTCATCTTCTGGTTGAGAAAGTTCTGAGCAACAACTCCTTGCTTCTTCTGAGATCAACCAAGATGTATTTGATGATAGTTGATTAGAATCTTGTAGAATCTTCTTCTTCTTGAGCAAGCTACGATCAATAATTCATTGCTTCTTCTGAGATCTACCAAGATGTATATGATGATAGTTGTATGATAAGTGTGTTTTATACCGTTTTATGATTGTGTTTTAGTCACATTTTCATTGTATTTTGTTTATGTTTCTTCCCTTTTTCTATATTTTATGCCTTGGTATTGTGTTTTTGCCATTTTCAGGTCTCTATGATCATACCGGAGGGAAAGGAAATCAAATCGGGTTAAAATTGAAGAAAAATGCGAAGACCGGAATACTCAAGTACAAAAACTAGAGCTCCATTACGGGTTCCCGTAACGTATGTTATTACCTGTAATGGACTTCAGGCTTCAACATCCCTTGCCTCTGCTCCCAGTACAAATATTTGTGCTCTGTTACGGGTGCCCGTAACGTACGTTATTTCCCGTAACAGGAGTGCGAAACTCCATATCTTCTTTCCTTTTTTTGGCTCAATTGTGCTATTTTGAGAGTTCTGGCATTTGAAGATTTGATTTGATTTGCACTTAATCTCCAAGATCTTTTTATTTAGGGCTACTTTTCTATTTAAGCTAAATAACATTGCAAGGATTGCATCCAACTTTTATTGTAGGATTCTTTTAGCATTTTTATAAGTTTTTGCAAAAGTCTCCATTGGAGCAGCTGGATCAACAATTCTTATTATATTCAGCATTTTATTTTCATCAGGTTATTTTTCTATTGCTTTATTTATAATTGATTAATCATGTTTTCTATTTTCTTTAATTTGTTTGTTTATTTTCTCACCATGAGTGAGTAGTTCTATAAGGATGAAGGGTCATGAGACCTAACATCTAACCATCCATGTAATTAATTTACCGTTTATGAGAATTTGAACGCTTTTATTTTATAAACCTGAGTCTTTATAATTTTCCCTTGTTATGAAAGTAAAAGAGTTCTCAGGTATTGATAATGATCTGAAAGGACTTATATCAATACCCAATAACAAGTTTTTAAACAATTAAGTTTGATGATGCTAAAGTACTCAAACAAGGTTGAGAAAGGATCCATTTTTATAACTATTCAAAAGCAACAATCTTTGATAAATAACTCTGCGCGAGCGAAAGCCGACGAGCGTCTTGTTTATCAAAGATAACATAATACGCTAGCAAAAGCAGGTGCTTTCTATATTTATCTATTTCCTATAAATCGCGCAAGAATCCTCATAGCGAAAGATAATTTAAATACATGGAGTTGTTAGAGTAAGAGATCATGACCCCTACATCCTGTTTGTTTTTATAAATTTTCAAGTTATTTGCAATTAAGTTGTTTTTAAAAAGTGCTTCTGAAAATAAGTTATTTTTACTTAAGTTATTTTTCACTTAAGTTTGTTTCTCCCAAACTATTAGATTGCTCTAGCTTTACAACGATACAAAAGAAATCGGTAATTAACCATTGGTACTTGTGGTTCGATAACTCTTTTTACTACTCTGACATTAGTCGTGCGCTTGTGACCATGTCAGTGTATGACATCTTGTTGAAATCTTCTTTCTTTATTTTATCTCTTCTTTTGTGGTCTTCAGAATATGTAGCATTGCAACTTTAACATCTTCAACATCCATTGCTTTCCTTTCACAGGATAAAGCTTGATGGCCAATGGCAACGACGACATTCTTTTTTGAATCTTTGATCTTCTTTTATAGCCTTTGACAAAGAGAGACATTGTGAGGATAGAAAGGACTTTTCCTGCACCAACAGTTAGCTCCCAGCGGATAGAATAAGGTGTAAGAGTTTAGACAGTATAGAATAATATTTTTGTATCCTGTCGCTGTTCAATGATAGCTTTCCATATTTTCTCTGAATAATGTTTTTCTAATAAGCTTCTAAATAGAGATTCGTTAAGTAAATAAAGATATATGTAAATCCAGATGTTTGTTCTCAACGGTCAAAATGAAAGTGGTTGATAATACAGTATAAAGGATTGTCCTTATGCCGCCCTAGAGGGTAGAGGTCGCAGACACTTTATGTACCTTTTGTAAAACATCACACGTTAACCATTTGAACTTTCTTCTTATCATCGGAGGCTTCAGATATTTGAATGTTGAACGTTGAAGCTTGTTATAGAAGATTCACTCTTGAGTCTTAGAACCTAAGTCTTGGAGTCTTCAGAACTTGCCACACAGAACCTTGTCTTCAGAGTCTTCAGCACTTGGTTGTAAGAACTTGAGTTTCTTCATATCATCAGAACCTGTTCAGTAGAACCTTATCTTCATAATCTTCAGAATTTGTAACACACGGAAGTAAAGCTTGGGAAGGCCTCTGAAGCTTAACCACAAAATCACGATCAGAACCTCTTGTACTAAGTTCTAAGTCTCCTTCATCATCAGTCCATGATAAGCCTAGAGCATCTTCAACCTATGTTGGAGTAGGCGTGCCCCGACTAACCAAAATAGTATAGGCTTCTGCCGCCAGAACCCTCCAGTGGTTAGAATATTGGTAACACCAGCAAGATAAGGGGTGGCCTGAGAAGTCCTCCTCATTTGCTGCATTGTTTTATCACATTGCATCTTATTTATGGTGAAATAATAGATAAGTTATAGAGAAAATCATCAAAGAGTATTCAGAAGAAAAAAAATTCTCCTATTTGCTCACCAAAAATGTCTTTCGTGGTATTTTTCGAGCCGACTTCCACTAGCAGTCATATCTCTATGAGCCTCTTCAAATATTTCTATGGTGCTACCTCGGGAGGGGTAACTCCCCCAACGTAACCTAGAGCCTCGTGGAAAGACACCTACTTCCTTTTCACAAATATGTCTTCTTGAGTCAAATTGTCCATCTTGTAAACATTGGATGCTAATTATGCCAAGAAGTGGCTTTTCCATTAGAACTTGGACAAATTGTTTGATCACTTGTAATGCGACCTAGGATTAATTGAGCATATTGTGGCATGAGTTTTTTTCCATGGAGAATGGTAATTAAGAAAAACTGGTCCTTGAAATGATTCACATTGTTTGAATAAACATCAATTGTATTGGTGAATTGTCAAATGGATATCAAGACTTGGACCTTTAATGAAGAAGTCGAGCTATACTGAGCTTTGAAAAGATGGAAGAAGAGCATCTGATTTGTCACACTCCCCTTATATTCACACCACTATTGCAAGACTTATCAACTCATTGGGGTAGTTTTGAGGGAGCGATGAACATGTGATTAAGAACATCAACCTCAAATTTATGAAAAGGAAGGCAGGAACATGTTAAAGAAAACATACACTCATCAAGAGAGATAATACACTCATCATACTTGTTACACACCGTCTTATCTTCCTCAAGAATGAGCACTCCCTAGTCAAATAAAGGCTCCACGTTGGTAAAAGCTCGATCCAGACCATCCTCGAATGCAAATATAGATGTGGTGTTTAACATCTCCTCATCCATCCATATTGAAGAATTATCTCCCTTTTCCTTGTGAAGCATAGTATGTGGAACTTCCATTCTCAAGAACACTGTCAACAGAAAAAGACAAGTATGAAGAAACATAACTCTAATCAAACGTTCCAATAAAAAAAGTTTGAAAACCAGAGAAATAAAAAATCTACTCTCCAAAAAGCCTAATAAATAAGGAAGCGGAAGCAAGAAGAAAGACAAAGACTTTACCTTGAAAGAACGGTGTTAGTCCCCTATGCACCTTAAATGCCACCAAACGAGTTATTACAAATGAACATAAATCTAAGAATCAATGATTAATAACCCACAATAAAGAGAGAGGATGACAATACGAAGAATAAGGGCTTTTGCAGTTCACATGTGGCAAAAGAGAGGGAACACGATGCTTCAGGAACTCTTTTATGTGTGCCTCAACCACGAGGAATTATACGATCCACTACATTGAGATATGCGAGACACACTAATAACGTTCAATATTTCACCGAAGATCGTTCCAAGTAGTTGAGTATTCTAAGAAAGGGGAAACATCATTGCTCACTAATATAGGGACATGTGTCACACGCTTCATGTGAAACGTTACCTATTACAAGAAAGACATTTAATGCTCTTGTTTCCAATGATAGCGACTTCTCATCAAGGTCTTTCATCTCCTTAAGCTAATCAACCGACCTAGGGCTTATACGGAAAACCTTCATACTACAAAGCAGAGACAAGGACTTGAGGATGGGGGACTGTTATGGGTCGCTCATAAGGTCCAAGATAGAAGGACCAAAGGCAAAGCCAAATAAGCGAGAGTGAGAAACATGTGTTCCTCCATTCTCATCTAATATAGGTAACCCCGCCCCTTGAGGCATCATCCATCGCCCAGATCAATCAAACGGTTGTCGCCTCTACACGCCGCACTCTTCGCTGACAGTTTTAAGCGCCCTACTAAGAGATAAAACACCTGATTCTAAGGTATTCAAATCCCCACTCATCCATATTATTCATTATTCTTTTAATAATTTATATATTGAGGCGGTAGTCTTACAACTCAATTCTCTCTCCACACATGAGAAGTTCAAGTCTGTCGTAGCAAAACGCTACCATATTGCTTCACTAATGATCTCTAGTTTTAATTCGAATAAATTGTATGCGTAAATTTCTTCTATGAAATGACAAAGTGCTCATTTGTTTGAAACAAAAAAGTTTCTCCTATGACTAGGAATTTCCAGATTCATTATGATTCGTGATAACAAATAAAAGAGAGAAATGTGAATGTGCATATACATTATTAAGCAAGAGATCATACTGTTTTCGTTTTTCTCTCTATCTCTCTCTTTTTTCCTTTACAAGCTAGAACTCCTTTCAAGTGGTGGTACATATAAGACAAATCATATGTCTATAAACTTGTAATATAGTGACAGTGAGAAAATAAATCAACTCATCAGAATCTGATAAGTTTTCAGCTATATATTTAAACACATAATCCAAAACAATATCTCACTATATGAAACAATATTTCTTGGAGGATATAACTGACCTCATGGGATTTATATCTTAGTTAGAAAAATAGAAAATAACACATCAATTAACACTTCTCAGGCCCACATGCACACTACTTTATAATATTTTTCTGACAATGATTCATCAAATCAATGTTACTTATCATCACATGACGGTTGCACCTCTTTCCTTGATGACAATATATATATTCAATTGTCGAACTTGTGGGGATGTATTGTTTTGTAGGTATTCCATTTCATCAATTTGCATATAAATGAAAAAAGGAAAGATATCTTTTGAAAATTTGGTTTTGATGCAATAGTTATCCATTGTGAGACTTCTAATTCATATTGAATTGGCATTTTTCTCTTTAGGGTAAGGTGCTATTGTGGTCCATTCATTAAAGCATCGACCAATATAACTCAAAGGTGAGTGGGAATATTTTCTTTTCTTTTCTTGAACTATTGGTAATCTATACTTAGATTTATTGCGAATAGAAAGATACACAAAGAATACTTTAATTAATTTTTATAATAGGAGTTGATTTATAAATTTTTTAAATAATCACTTTTTTAAATTTTTTTTTCTAAATAACGATATTTTAAAAAAATTTACTAAAGTAATCTCATTTAAAAAAAAAAAAATTCGTCACACAAAAGAGACGTCATTCTGTGTAGTGCATACATACAAATTAAAGAGAAGGCGTTATACTGTATGGCTTGTTCTCCTGTGTAATGCCATGCAGTGTGGTGCATGCATGCATTATTAGAGAGGAGACGTCACCTTGTGTGGCTTGACAGTTGTATTTATTTATTTTTTTAATAAAAATAAAAGTAACTAAAAATATTTTATATTAATATTTTATATTATACAATACATCGATACGTTTTTTTCGGACGTCCCCTCAACCTAAGCGGGTTCCAGTATGACATAAACAGCTCCGCCTTTGCCTAACCCTTTGCCTCACTCCTCTCTGTTGATTTTTCTGAGGTGTTTGGGGTCTATTCTGACTGGCTTGATGATGAGGTGTTTGATGTGATGGTCCTGGTACATGAGGATCATACATCTCATCGATCATTTTGCTCCACTGTGTTGTGCTTCCAAAGAGATCGGTGCCCATGTTGTTGAAGTTTGACATTGGTCTCTTTAGAAGCACAGCACAGTAGGGCAAAATGATCGATGAGATGTATGATCCTGATGTATCAGGAACATCACATCATCATCAAGCGAGTCAGAACAGATCCCAAACACCTCAGAAAAATCAACAGAGAGGAGTGAGGCAAGGGGTGAGGCAAAGGTGGAGTCGTTTATGTCATACTGGAACCCGCTTAGATTGAGGGGGCGTCCGAAAAAAATATATCCATGCATTGTGTAATATAAAATATTAATATAAAATATTTTTAATTATTTTTATTTTTATTTAAAAAAATTAATAAATACAACTGTCAAGCTACACAAGACGGTGCCTCCTCTCTAATAATGCATGCATACGCCACACTGCATGATATTACACAGGAGGACAAGTCATACAGTGTGGCGCATCCTCTTTAAATTGTATATATGCACCACACAGAGTGACACCTCCTCTGTATGGCAAAATTTTTTTATATGAAAAATTATTACTTTAATAAATTTTAAAAAAAATATGATTATTTAGAAATTATTTAAAAAAAAATTGTTGATTTATGTCTCAAATTTGTATTCTATCAAAGTTTTTTTTTCGAGTTACACGAATTTGAATACTGTATTGTTTTATTAAGATATGACGGTTTTTATTTTGAATAAGCAAAAAAAATTAATATTAAAACAAAAATTTATTAATTGATTAAAATAATTTTTAAAATGTTTTAAATACAATTTAGAGAATTAAGAAGATAAAAATCACCTATTTTAATTTTTTTTAAAGTTAAATACATAAACTTTTTTTAAAAATATTTTTATGCGGAATATTTAATATGTACTTTTTTATTTAATATTCTTTAAATTTTAAATTTGATATGTGAGTCTTAATTTCAATCTAATGCTTATTTTATTGTTCGAATATTATCGGTATCACTTCATTATTCTTTTATATAAACAAAATTATTCTAAAGTACTTTAAAGTTAGAAAATTCTATAACCATATATCCAACACACTATAATTTAATCACTCGCACTTAAAATATAAATTATATAGAAGATTTATTTGAAAATGGACGAAGGAAGTAAACCTAAGAGTAAAGGAGGTTAGGAATTAAGAATCTTCAATTAGTTAATTTATCTTTCTGGTTAAGTGGAGATGTAGATTGCTTACGGATGTTTTAACATGTGATATGGTATTCTGGTAGTTAGGTATAATGATTATTTCGTTTCCTCTCTTTGAGGGGGGGAGGATATTGAAATTTTGATCTACTTCGACTTGATGGAAAGGTGTATTTATTCTTGGGTCCAAAGATGATGACCCTTTTAATTGGATTGTTTGATGGTGTCGTTAAGATAGTAGGGTTTTCCTTTCATGCTTCCTTTTAAAAATAATCTTGGTTAAAACCCATGCCACTAAAGTTTAAATTCTTTGACTTATTTTCTAACTATATTCAATCTGATGGGATGGTGGAAGATATTAGTAAGGTGGACAGCGAAGACTTGGTATGGAATATCAAGTAGAAAAGATTAATCTTTTTTTGAGAGTTACCTTTGTATGAAAATCTTCTCTTTATGCTCTAGAGAGAGGGGAGAGAGATAAATGAATTTGGAAGCATACACTAAAGGTTTTTTCTCAGTTGCCTCTTCCTATCATGTTTGATTTGTTAGTTCTTTTGTCTCTTATGACTGAGAGTTTGAGTCTCCCCCTTATTTAGGATAGATGGTCTCTTCCTAAACTGTTGCTCTTCTCCTGACGGCTTCTGCATGATATACTTGATCGTGACTTTAAGAGTCTATCAGGTGTATTAACTGCAAGGGTACAGTTTAATCGCGTAGTTTTAAAAGATATCGAACTCACACGGACTGGTAATCAAATTATTGTCATCTAAAGCTATTGTGTAAAGCTAAGGATAATAAATCACAGGTTTTGGGGTAGACGAAAAGTAAGGTTAGATTTAATTGAAATATTTAATAACGGAACACCGGTACATAGTAGTCTGACTTCGGGAATTCAATAATTCATTGGCATAACTTTGAGTATTCAAAACACTATTTAGTAGAAACAATCAGTTTAAAAACCTTTATCTCACACTCTCGTGATTGTTGATTCGGACTATATTCACTATGCCAAACAAGCACATAGACAAAACGTTTTTTGGCCATAGACAGCGCTTATAAGTGCTGCCTATTCCTGCGCTGCTGTAACCTTAGGCAACACTTTTAGTCTATGTGAAAGCGCTGCTTAATGTAGATCTTAGACAACACTTTATTGAATAAGCGCTTTCTAAAGGCCCCTATAGGCAGTGCTTTTAACAATGTAAGTGCTTTCTATAGTGTGTCTATAGCAGCGCTTTCACTTTAGACAACGCTTCCTCAAAGCGCTGTCTAAAGTGAAAGCGCTGCTATAGGCACACTATAGAAAAAGCGTTGTCTATTGTATTTTTTTTTATTTTTATATTTGTTAAACACTGTCTAATATCCCCTTTTAGGAAGCGCTTATTATGTCATAGGCAACACTTTTTGATTTAAAGCGCTGTCTAATGTTAACGAATTTTTTAATATATTCAACTTATATTTTAAGCGCCCTGTACACATAATCACTTAAAATTTAAGCGTTGTCTTTCAAATTTGCACAATAATTTATAAATTTAATTTGAAGCTTCAATTCAATAAATATGCACCAAATTTAAATATTTATATATACAACTTTAATCTGACAATTTATATATACATAAATACAACTTAAAGTGTTCAATATTGTTATCTTTTAGAGCTGCTATATTCTACTATCTTCTCTACAAACAACAATGAAGAATCCTAAATGAATCTATATATCTTCTACACATATATGCATCTACCTGAAATAAAACAAACAAAAGCATATATATTAGAATCAAGCTATATATATAACACTTAAGAATCAATGTAACAAAAACAAATCAAGATTCATACAAACAAAATTTCCCAATTCATACCATGCATACAAACAAAATTCATAGATTTCGTCCATACAAACAAACAAAATTCCGTTATAATCCACCATTAAAAATTCCCCGATTCATACATACAAACAAAATTCCCCGATTCATACCATGCATACAAACAAAATTCCCCGATTTCTTCCATACAAACAAACAAAATTCTGTTATAATCCACCATTAAAAATTCCCCGATTCATACATACAAACAAAATTCCTCGATTCATACCATGCATACAAACAAAATTCCCAGATTTCGTCCATACAAACAAACAAAATTCCGTTATAATTCACCATTAAAAATTCCCCGATTCATATATACAAAAAAAATTCCCTGATTCATACCATGCATACAAACAAAATTCACTGATTTCGTCCATACAAACAAACAAAATTCCATTATAATCCACCATTAAAAATTCCCCGATTCATACATACAAACAAAATTCCCCGATTCATACCATGCATACAAACAAAATTCCCCGATTTCGTCTATACAAACAAACAAAATTCCGTTATAATCCACCATTAAAAATTCCCAGATTCATACATACAAACAAAATTCCCCGATTCATACCATGCATACAAACAAAATCCCCTGATTTCGTCCATACAAACAAACAAAATTTCGTTATAATCTACCAATAAAAATTCCCCAATTCATACATACAAACAAAATTCCCCAATTCATACCATGCATACAAACAAAATTCCCCGATTTCTTCCATACAAACAAATAAAATTCCGTTATAATCCACCATTAAAAATTCCCCGATTCATACATACAAACAAAATTCCCCGATTCATATCTTGCATACAAACAAAATTCACTGATTTCGTCCATACAAACAAACAAAATTCCGTTATAATCCACCATTAAAAATTCCCCGATTCATACCATGCATACAAATAAAATTCCCCAATTTCGTCCATACAAACAAAATTCCGTTATAATCCACCATTAAAAATTCCCCGATTCATACATACAAAAAAAAATTCCCCGATTCATACCATACATACAAACAAAATTCCCTGATTTCGTCCATACAAACAAACAAAATTCCGTTATAATCCACCATTAAAAATTTCCCGATTCATACATACAAACAAAATTCTTCAATTCCGTTATAACCCACCATTAAAAATTCCCCGATACACTTTCAAATACAAATAAAATTTTCATCTCAATAACAACAACAATATTGCAACAATATACTACACTATGACGACATAGTATCTCATTAACTCAAACTTATATATAC